GGTAATGCGGCTCTTCCCAGTGCTATCTAGCAAGAGGTTTTGTTTGGTCACTGCCTCTACCTTGGAAAACAGTTAGTACTTAGTCAAATACACGAAGGTCCTATAGCTTCAGTAGCCATGTAATAACCCAGGGTCATACATCCAAAGGAAGGATTGAGCGCTCATCGCACGTCGCAAAGGCTCGAGTGACGGCTTGCGTGGAAACTGCGAATTGAAGTGGAAATCTAATCATAGAAGGGCTAGAGATAGAGGGAACATAAGGAGATGATAACTTACGAGGTTCTTAAGTAGTGTACTCGAGCAGACACAGGCGATTTTGTTGGTATCCTAGAGGATTAGAAACAGGAAGTAAAAATTAAAAAAATTGATATCGCCTTTAAAGATAATCCGGAATGGAAGAATAAAGGCTCCGCTTGTGGACGGCCCACAACAATAACGACCAATACCATTGGCCCGAATTTGTGGGGTGCACTGTCGTGCTGTAGCAAATGGGATATATCCACACTTTGATATCTCATTGATTTGAAAATCTGACGAATAGCATTATTGCAAGAGTTTCAATTTCGATTTAGCTGAGTGAATGTTCGCTTTCGAGTTTTAACGGCCATCGAAATGATCGATGGATATACTTCTGATGCGGCAGGCCGCCTAAATTCGCTATAGCGCTCAGTGGCGTCTTACGGGGGGAAGGTCATAGCGGGCTATGGCTCGGTGTTTCGACACTATCCTGAATCGGGCGTTGCGGCTCAAGTTATCATGGACAGCTAAACACTCATCACCTCAAGCATTCAACCTGCAGGACAAAAGTAATTAGACGTCATGATAGAAAAAACATGTCCCGAAACTCCACTTCTGAGGAGGCAAGGGCTCAAACTCCGCGAGCACGACTTCACTGCCGATAGCGGTCCTCGTGTCGAGGGCGCCTGTCTATCAAACTTGTTCAAACGAGCAGCACTCTTTATAAACGTCTTGTCAACGCAGCCACATCAGTAATCTTCATATATGCATATGTTATTCCATCGTAGCCCCCACATTCAGCAAATGTCATGCAAATACCCACGATAGTATCGCCTTCCGCGGCAGTGATACTCCTCCGATGATCCACGTTATCTTCACCCCATTGTATTTCTCTACCGCGGTTCGTACGAAGCTGATTATCATAACATTAGTTAGCTGAAGCCATAGAGGAAATATGACAGAAGAGCTGGTTTTCTTGCCTTGATTGCTCGTTGTTCTGTTAATCGCGCAACTAAGATCTCCGTAATAATTTCGCCTCCTGCACCATCGATGTCAAAGTGAAGAGTTATATTCTGCAGTGGCGAAATGTCGCTGTCGGTATGCATCGTCGCAAAATCGCCCATTTCACCTCTTTTGAATCCTGTGGCATGCTTGTTGCTTGAAGCTTGATGATTACCTTCTTGCGTCCTCCCAATCGTGCGTCGTTTTAGAGAAGATTGGGATGTAAATTCAGCCACTATTCCGCATAAACTGTATTCATCTTCTTCAAACCCCAACTGGTATCCAGACAGAGATTTGAGGCTGCGGAGCTCTGTTTTATCTCTTGCCCAGACAAGAGCCTGCAGGGGAACGACACCTCTATGGACTTCCGGTTGCCCATTCCAGAAGCTGTCACTGTCATTGTTGAGCTCCTCGTCTCCATCTTCTCCATACACAAGTCGATAGCCAGGGCTGTCCCAGATCGGTTCTCCGAGTATATCTGTCATATCACTTTGCCAGAGCCAACGCTGGAGAGGTGGTATAGGTGGCAATTCATCATCGGTTGACTCTTCACTCGAGTTTTCTTCGTTCGATGGCCAATTCTCAAGATAGAAATCGACATCTATCATTTGTAGCAGACCTAAACGGAGAATATGCGGCTTGTCTTTGAAAGTCTATCATTCTAATCAATGCGAAGTGCATAATTACATGATGGGTCAATACTTACACCAACCTGGCCGATGAGGCCTACTGCATGGCAGCCTTTTGAGGCAAGGAGGGGCCGCTTAGAATAACCAGCATTTGTTATGCCAAAATCCTGGAAACCATATTTGTTTATTATCTGTGGGTGGTTAGCTTTGTTGGAAGACTAATGATTCCCGGTCGAAGTCGACTTACAGTCACTCCCTTTGGATCTGTGTTCGCGTAGTCTTCCAGTAACGCCATTTTAGGTATATGAAGGATTACACCAGTTATCCAATTATCCTCATCAAGCTGTGCTGACTCGACAGAGATCTTTGTGTCCGAATTGTCCCTACCAAACACGTTTCTTTCGTGTCCTTCTATGGTCACAGATAATCCGACCAGGGAGCCGGCGATGTCCCAAAAAGTTTCAATCATCTTTTTCCCCATATGTAGATCCTCTATGCGGCGAGTCCAGAGAGTTCTTTGAGCACAACCTCGAGCGATTGGCAAAGGATATGACACAACGGGCATGTGCACACAGAAGGTGTGGGCCAGAATGGTGTCGTCCATCGACTTGAGGAGTTCTCTCCTTTCATTCCACTGGGGAAGGTAGACATCGGCCAGTTGTTGACAGGCGTGCCAAATTCTTCGGCGGTTAGCAAGCGACACTAGCATAATACTAGTCAGTGAGGTGTTCTGTTCAAAGATAGTGAAGAGCAGATAGCTCCTCAGGGGTTGCATCCAGGATGGACGTATGTGAAGTATTCGTTGGATGACCAAGTTGCAACCACAGAAGATGAATATTGCTTACTGAAAGGATCTCTAACATATCTCCTTGGTCTTGACACCTTCTCAGCCCAAAGACATAGCCTCTTCGGATCTTGTAGGTGCATTATATTAGTTTCGTCAAGCACTTGATGCAGTTCAAAGAACCAAGGCATCGAGTCTCGGATCCGTTGTCTCCAGAAGCTATCATTGTTTCTGAGAGTATGATGCGTAGTCCAAGAAGCGTTTGCAAGGGAAAGAATAGATTGATTGGATAGAAGTTTCAGCACTTTGAGCAGGAGCTCATAAGGCAATTTGAAGAAGGGATCGTTGGCGAGTCGAGAACCCAGATTCAGCTCAGATCTCAGAGGAATGAATTCAGACCTGGCAAGAGTGGCCGCTACAACCTCTTTCAGCCCTCGATCCTCGGTAGGGTGTACTACTAAATACTCCTCTCCTGGATGTGATTCCCAATACTGGAAGTCTATCAGGCTCGTCATGCCATAGTCAAGTGTCAATCGAGAGCCACCCAACGTGAAGCTTTCCATGACGCTGCAGAGCAAATCATTGTCCACCGACCCATATTTAGATGGCCAAAAGAGACATTGCTTTAGAAGCTCAAAGCAGCAATCATGAAATGGATAAACAGGTTCTCTCTGGCTGAGGTCACGGTAACAATTCAATTCCTGGTCTTCGAGAAAATTGGGGTCTCTCCCTTCATCAACATCCACATATCCATATTCCATGTATATTCGCCTAAGCCGGAGATGAATGTTCTGAAATCCATTTAGCAGCAGCGGTGTTCTATTTGAGCAGGTAGAACATACTTGCTGTGCCCAAATGCGCCGTTGGGATTAAAGCCGACAACACGCAGCGTGCGGATCCAATCCGTATCCTCTTCACTGATGACTTCCGGATCATAGCCATCATCATCATCTGCCCAACGGTCTCGAGATTCCGTCTCATCACCATCGGATGATAAATCTACGGACTCATCATCGGAGCTGCTGTGCATAGATCGTTCTTCATCTTCTCGCGCTCGCTGGCGTTGAAAGCGTGTTGTTCTTGACTTTTGCGCAAACTCGACCGAATCAAATGGCCCACCACAAATGGCGCAGTAAATCGCCCATTTACTCATTGTGCTTTGCGCCAAGGACTTCTGAAGTTATCAGATCCAGCTTGAGCTCTCTTTCTCGAGCTTTATACCGGTCTGCATTGACTTGAAATGAACTTCAATCACATTGGTACCTCTGCCGCGAGATGCTAAGCTGTGGAACATATTTGGCGGGGCACTGTGCTACAATTTTGTTGATGCCGCCAAGTCATTAGCGGTCAGTGCTGCCGCTGGGCATTACTAGGCGGCTTACTTTAACAGCAAAACACGCTGCTAGTCACTCTAGCAGCAGAAGACAGACGAAGGGGAACTAATTATGGGTTTGCATTGAATGATAGATATCGTCTGATGATGCGCAGTCGTCATTGAGCACTCCTTAGCTGAGGAGGTTTACTTAAGCGCCGACGCGAAATGGCGCTCCTCTTATAACAGTTGAATGACGGTGCGCTTTATGACTCTAAACGAGGATGACCTTGTCTTCATGTCACGCATGACAGAGGATGTTGCAGGAATATAGGGCCTACCTAGGTAGACTGCGAGAGGTAAATGGGTGGTTGTAAAGGGATAAATTTAGCGCTTAGGCTGTGGTCAGGGATGTTTAACGTTCATCGACGACGGTGCGAATGGTCATCGAGAAGTCTTTCTTGAATGCATTGTCCCTTTCTGCTATGTTGTGTTTTCTATTAGATGAAGTGGCACGCACAATGTCATGATCAACGGAATTATCGGGCTCCAAGCGGGATTAGATACCAGTGTCTTCGCTACTCGGCCCCGGACCCATTACGTGATCAGCGCTTCCACATTTGTTCTGGTCTCGGAGATACCATTGCCAAATCAGGAATACCAAGCCTGTCGCAACTCCGCTTCACGTCACGATCAACATGATATGACTTTGACTGAGGATTCATCCGCACCAAGGCAGGATTCATGGACACGCTTTGTAATCGTAAATACGTCTAATGTTCATTTTCCATGTCCGTAGATTTCATATCGGTCATCTTCAGCCTCCGAAATCGACGAGGTTCCATTCCCATCAGGACCGAGAAGTCATGATCATGTAGCTAGAACGAGTACTACTTAAATGGCCACGACCCAGCATCTTATGGTTGCTTTCTGGCTCACACATCACTCACACATAGGCTTTTGATATTGAATAAGGCAAATCAACATAACACGAAAGATCAGAGCTCCTCAAATTTGACTCAACCAAGAGCTCGCCATGTCTCAACCTCTGAAGAAGATTGCAATTGTTGGTGTAAGTCTCCCCTGAATCTGGACAGTCCAGCTATTTTGAGTTGACCGCCCATATTGATAAAATTACAGGCTTCTGGGCGTATAGGAGGCTATATCGCCAAAGCACTTGTCAAAAATGGCAAGCAGACCGTTACTGCTCTCACTCGGGCTGAAAGCAAAGGTACACTACCTGAGGGCATTGTGCCTGTCAAGGTCGACTTCTCAGATGGTGCATCGCTGGAGTCTGCTTTGAAGGGACAACAGGTTCTTATTATCACGCTGGGAGTCACTGCGCCGCCTGATCTGCACGATCGCATCGTTGCAGCCGCAGCAACGGCTGGAGTTCCATACATCATGCCCAACAACTGGGGATTTGATGTGACATCTCCTTCCTACCAAACAGATATGTTTGGAAAGCAGGCGTGGCAAAACATGCAAAGTATCACTGCGACAGGTGTCTCCGCAGCAATTGCACTAGTCTGTGGACGATGGTACGAGTGGAGTCTTGCTATCGGCGAACACGCCTTTGGTTTCGATATCAAGAATAAGAAGGTGACATTCTATGACGACGGAAAATATAAAATCAACTCCAGTACTTGGGACTTGTGCGGAGAAGCTGTGGCTGCGTTGTTTTCCCAGCCCGAAAGCATAGTTGCCGAATTCAAGAACAATGTTCTGCGCATCTCCAGCTTCACGGTTTCACAGCGCGACATCCTTGACAGTTTGCACAGAGTCATGGGCACAACAGATGCCGATTGGAGTATCTCATTCCAGTCGAGCCAAGAACGTTTCCAAGAGGGACTTGCAGAGTTGCAGAAGGGCAATCAAGTCGGCTTCGTCAAGGCCATGTATGCGAAGGGATTCTTCCCTGGTGGTGATGGTAACTTCAGCGACAAAGGCCTGCAAAATGAACGGTTCCACCTGCCAGCCGAAGACCTTGACACATCGACAAAGCGCGCAGTCGACATGGTTCAAAGCGGCTGGAACCCATGGGCTTGAGGGGTATTATTTCTCTCCAAAGTACATTGAGCATAGTGGAGTTTTTCGTAATGACATGCTAGACTAAATCTTTAGATTAATTCCAACCACATCTGAATACTCCCATTGCCATCTCTATCCTAACTTGCTAACCGTCATTCTTTATGTCATGCGATTGAGCCTCCGTGCGAATGTGCGTGATTCGGATCGATCAAATTGCCATACAATTCAAAGAACATGTCTGTCATCGGGGCTTCTTCTACACCCTTCGGTTTTTTCATCACCTCTACATATTTATCCATGTCAATGGTGTTCTCCTTTCGCCATAGTGTGAGCTTATCAAAATCTATGCATTGCCTATTAAGAGACCTGTGATTTAAATCAATTCTGAATTGTAGTGAAAGGCTCATGGAAGAGGTCGACATACATGTCCGGGAAAGGATAATCTTGTGTTTCCACCCAATGCATGGTGATTAAATTGACATTACCACTGCATTGTAGAGCCTGCATGAGTATATCAACGCAATGATTGATGTGAATCTCCCTCACTACAACATCTGGAGTCAGCAATTGCCTTTCAAGGACAAGGAAAGAGCTAGAAAAGGGCTAGAAAAGGCTTGAAAAGAGATTTCTCGGGAGTAACCGTCCACATTGGGACGGTTTTTTTGTCTCCATTACTCCAAACATGGCTATATGAGGTGAGAATGAACTCCAAAAGTTACTTACTGGTGAACTCATCTGTTCGACCGATAGTCATGTTGTAGTATTCGCCATAGGCAATTTGACGTAGACTATTCAAACAATGAAGCTGATGATAGACATCAAGGATAGAAGCATACGCATCATCTCCAAGTCCCCAGTTTTCATCTTCAAGTTTGACTGCTGTGAGAGGATCCTTGCCGAGTTGAATGAGATCAGACCGACTGATGGGAAACACTCTTGTTATCTCCCATTCCTCCCATACCTCATCAGCTGCAGCGTTGGGCATTTGTCGAGCAATCGATGGATCTGAAGTGGGAAATAGAGTCCCATTAATCATTTGAACGTGCCTTCCTAGGTCTAGAAGGTCATACAAGGGACCTACTCTGATTAGTGTCAATGTTTTTCTATATCAATGAGGATCAGTGATACTGTATGTCGACGCCTGCCGTAGCTCAGAGTTGAGATTTGTGGTCTCATGCTTCGTCCATTGGATGATGAAAATAACATTTACGACAAGTACAACCAAGTTGAGCAAGGTGAATAAAATGATATTTCTGGATGTAGACTTTTTATGTGTTGAATGAAGTCGTGGGAGAAACGCGTTCTGCTCGTCTTCATCGGAAGACAGCCGCTGCTCGTGAATCATACTTACGGATCGCTGAAGTATCGATGCCGAAAATTTACTGGAAAGAAAGGTGTCAACATGAGAAAAGTAGATGTTACATTATAGATTTGATCTGAGAAAAACAACCTGTTTCAGCGCTGCACCAGCTTGGTTAGAGCTGTACGGAGCTTCAGCAGGCATGTACTAATTTTCATGCTACTTTCCGCATTGAGAGGCTAGTGTGTGATAATATCTAATCATGATCTGCCTATGAGCCTTTGAGTTGCTTCTAGCTTTGCCTAGTACATGCATATGGAATCAAAGATGGAGAATGAAAAGATTCTTGTTACAGGGACAAGTACTGAGCTACTGGCGTAAGCACTTGCAAAGAAGAGAAGACGAGCATAATCGCACCGCCAGTCCTAAGGACTTGCCAATAATGGAAAGCCCGATCGGTATTTATTCGATGTCATAATTAGGAGGAGAGTCTGCTGTTCAATGGTGATGCATCTCGCGCATATCTCCGAGCCGTACCTTCCAATTGAGTGCAAGCTGTAGATACGACATTGTCAATCATGTTGCCGTTGGCCTCGTTGGCGAGCGAGCGACACTCGCGATCGTCGCGAAAGAGAAACATGGGCCGTGACATACCGGCGGGAGTGTCTCGATCTGGAAGGCACTCTCCTCGGTGTTCATGGGCCAAAGAAATATGACAACAGTTGGAGGAGGATAAAAGGGCTTGATCATTCGCAAAAAGCTGAATTCTCATCAATCCAGATAGATCAATTTCTCTAGCTACCAAAATTTCGTTCCATAGACAAAACCTACGATCAAGATGAGGATTGCATCTTTTTTCGTTGCCTCCGTGGCTCTTCTTGCTGGGTCTGCTTTTTCGGCACCGCTTAGTGTGAGTCATAAAACACTCGGAAAACATTAACTATTCTAATGTGTTAACTCGCGATAGATAAACTCCGAGCGATCTCCCGATGCAAAGCCAATTGAGCCACTCTATGGAGAGAATCTCAACTTATATGGAGCAAAATATCTCGCAGGAAAGCGTGCCGTGGGGAATGATGAAAAGCGGGAGGCTGAAGCGAAGCCGATAGAGCCATTGTACGGCGAAAATCTCAATATCTACGGAGCAAAGTACCTTGCTGGCAAACGGGAGGCGGATGAGTGAACATACTGCGGAAGCAAACGCTCAACAAATCCATATTTATTTGATCAAATTGAACAGGATCGAGATCTCGTATTGATAGTTGACGAGGGTTGACCAATGGTCATACTTTTGTTTTTAGCTGAATGATCCTAGAATACCCTATCGTGACTCGCCACGGACATCAGAGTTGGCCGCTATGTCTCGGAGTGAGAAGTTGCTTATTCATCTCTCCAACCCTATGACAAGGGGTGTAGCCGAGATAGGAAAGCCATGATGCCATGATAAAATTGTCATGTCTCCGCGAGATGGGACACCTATCAGCCAGAGATTCCACTTTTATGTTATTGTAAAATACAGTATGCGCTCCTTCGTGACATATATGACTTGCAAGGTTCCGCTGAATTGCTAATTCAAACTTTGCTGCATCACCAACATCTAAAGGAGTTTCGGTCTTGATTCTGGAAATTTGGAGCATCGTCAACATTAGAACCAGAGAACATTTGAGAGATGGTGAGGTTTATCATCTTGATGAAATCGAGCTCGTGTCGTTATGACTAGACCAACTGAAGAAGAGTGCCGTAGGGGCAAAAGTGATAGCGTATGTGTAGCTCGTTGCCATGTCAATTAATGACAGCCATGAACGGGGCTGACACATTCTGGCGCGAAAGAGCTTCAAAGTAAATCTTGGCGTTGCTCGATAATGATTTCATGTCCTTGACCTAACCCGACGAGATCAAGATCGTTTAATTGCGGGACGCTATCAGTATGTCTTATTCTGGGACCCCCATTCTGATAGCTGATCGCAAATTCGGCTCAAACAGGGTTGCGGGACGAGGCAAACCGCCCTAAACCTGAAGGGGACAAAACCGCGATCAAACAACATCGCAATGACCGACTTATCTCAAATGAGGCACTGGTGAATATAAGGCCATTCGAAGTCTCGCAATTGAAAGCGATCATGTAGCAATTGACTTCTTGTGATACCTGTTGCAACATCTTACGACACCCTGGGTTTGAAAATGGAGAAGACGGCGTCTAAATCCTCGATTCCGATCGATCCTGTGCAGACGCACGCAACGACCGGACCTGGTACCATCGAAGAGGTCGAAGTTTCCAAGGCGAGCTTGAACATGAAGTCTGACGAAGCTTTGGACTTCCTCGGCTGTCAACCCGGTGACTTCGTCTATAGCGCCAAAGAAGCCAAACACGTGAGATGGAAGTTGGACCTGGTTCTTTTGCCCATGGTGAGTGGATCGAGGCATTCTAAACCCAATAAAGCATCTCTAATCATGTCAAGATGGTCGGAACATACGTTTTGAACTTTATGGACAAAGTCGCTCTTTCTGAAGCGTCCATATTCGGTATCAAAAAAGATTTGGTGAGCATTTAGTTCTTGTATGGTGAGCGGGACTAACGAAGAGACAGCATCTGGTAGGCCAACAATATAGTTGGTCATCCTCTATCTTTTACCTAGGATACTTGGTGGCACAATATCCGAATTCAATCTTGATGCAGAAATTCCCCATGTATGCCTCTCCTTGTCTTTGGCCATCCTTGACTCCCACTTGTTTACTGACACGACTAGCGGCCGCTACTTTGGTATAATGATTGTGCTCTGGGGTCTCACTGCGACTACAACCGTTGTTACCAAGAACTTTGCCACACTTTGCGTCAATCGAGTCTTTCTTGGAGTATTTGAGACCTGCATGTCGCCGATCTTGACTGTTATGATTGCTCAATATTGGACGCGGGATGAGCAACCACTACGGACTTCTATCTGGTGGTGCGGCTCTGCTATTGGGAGCTACATTTCAGACGCTATAACCTATGCGGTGGCAGACGAAAGTGGGAGCAAGTATGCTGTGTGGCAGGTCAGTTCGAATATTAACTTAGAACCAGTCACATTGCCACTGACATCATTCACAGATTGTGTATCTTGTCGTCGGCCCTATCACAATACTCTGGGGGATTCTCATATTCTTCGGAGTGCCTGCTTCGCCTATGACGGCGTGGTTCTTCAGTGAACGAGAGAAGAAGGTTGCGACCGCCAGGGTAAGAAACATTCTTTACAAATAGCGAGAGGCAAAAATTAAGGTTATAAATCCAAGGTGATCGAGTCACGCACCAGCGTCCGGAACACAGAATACAAGCTGCATCAAGTAAAGGTAAGCTGGTGTATACATTTAAAAAAACTATATCTGCTCGCCACCTTGAGAGTTGCTAACTTTTATTTCACAGGAGTGCCTCATAGACCCACAGACCTGGATTTTGGCTGTCCATGCATTCTTGCAATGCATCGAAGGCGGTGGCTTGACATCGTTCCAGAAGATCGTCTTGACCGAAACACTTGGCTTCTCTAGCCGTCGAGCCACTTTGATGAGCATGCCTGCTGGCACCATCCATTTCCTATCTGTCGTGCTTGCGTATGTGTTCCTATCCTGCCCTCAAGCTTCATGAGTGCCTGCTAATATCTAGACAGAGGATGGTTCTGCAGTCGATTCCGCAATACGAGATGCTATATGATGATATTTACAAATGTTATTGTTGTCATCGGTGCTGTGCTCGTAGATAGTGAGTTGATGATTGACTGTATCGTGAGGGGAGAGAGCTAATAAATAGTAGACCTTCCAGAGTCCAATGGAGGCGGTCGTCTTGGCGCTTTCTACAGTAAGGGACAATACTGAACTCTCCAGGTTCTAACTGACATGTCTCGCAGTTATCTACGTCAACACTGTACCTTTTGGTCTGGGCATGAGTATGCTGAGTTCAAATGTGGGCGGATTCACGAAGAAGGCTACAGCAACTGTAAGACGCCAAAGACAAGTACACCCCATCATAGAATGTGACCTAATACAAATCAGGTCATGATGTTCGTGGGATACTGTACGGGGCAGTTTGTCGGGCCGCAGGTCTTCATTGATAAAGAGGCGCCCAATTATCCGACTGCTTTCAGGGTATTTTACAGCGCCGTGTCCATGATGATTGTCTTGGAAATTGTTCTTCTGTGAGTTACAAAACTACAAGCGTTCTCTACTGGATCTGACCATATTTCCAGGAGCTACCTCAAGCTTCAGAATCATCGCCGCGATAAGAAGGCAGCTCAGTCTCCCACAGCAGCAGCACATGACCTACATGACCTACATGACTCGGACTTGACAGATTGGGAGCAGTTGGAGTTCCGCTATGTCTACTGAGATAAACAGAATCAGGCAGTGGACACAGAAGACATAGTGTTAACAGGTGTTGGGAGCGCGTTGGTGCTGGTTTATCTGGTGAAGGATAGGGGCCATCTCTTGGGCTGGATATAGCTTCTGCTCGTTGGAAGCATTCAACTGCTAAAGAAAGTGTATTCTCCTGTTGCTATCTAGAAGCTTGTGGCTTTGTAAACACCACATAGGCTAATAATAAAGAGTAATACACTATCTATCAAGGATTGCAGTAGAAACGAATTTTCAAACTTGACTTGAAGTAAAGAAACAATCCGTCAGAAAGCCCCCTTCGAAGCATGAAGAGGGGGGTCGATATCAGCGCCACGTCTGCCCTGCGGGGTCCTGACAAGCCTGGCTGAGGACATGTGGTGTGGTGACCAAAGCCCCTAAAATCCACGCTAACTTTCGAATCTATTTAGTGCGGTAGTGCACTGGAGATTAGGCATGTGCCCCGCAAAGACCCGGACTCAGCTGAGCTCCAGGCTCTCGCTCTCCAGAAAGACCTCCGTGTCATCCATCTCCTCTGCAAATCCCCAACGTGACGAGATCTCCGTCATGAGCCTGACATGTGCAACATGCGTCCGGCGCAAGTTGCAGTGCGATGCTCTGCGGCCACGCTGCTCTCCGTGCAGACGGTCTCACGTCAAGTGTACCTACGACCCTGCGCCCCCGACGTTCGAGTTCCGCGATGAGACACAGCGGCTCGTGTCCGGCTCCTCACGAAGCCGGAAGCGACAGAAGACATCGCAGAAGCCTGCAAGCTGCAGCAATTCGTCTCAAGATGAGCAGACGGTTCAGGCATGGAGCGAAGAAGTACCGGCCTCCATGGAAACCACGTTTCCTTTCCTCGACGGTAACATGATGCCCTGGATTGATGGCATCTTTGATAACTACGGAGACCAACCTTGGGACTCAACATCAATGGCCCCAATGCCGGGCGAGTCAGACGTCTCACCGCTCGAGGATCCGCCAGCGAGTCGGCCAGACTATGTGGCTTTACGGGACGCGATCTTCTCATCACCCGTGTTAGGAGATCGAGTGTCCATGGCGGCCGAGTTGCACCAGGACTCGCCAAGCTCCACTTCAGCAGTATCCGACCATGTGTTGGCTCAACATTATACTCGAAATCTTACATCGCGATACAGCTCCAAGAACCAGGGATGGAATTATCACACGTACTTCTTCAACCGGTTCAGCTCAAGCCATCCCTTTGTTATGTCAGCACTATACGCATGGACATCCGCCCATCTGTTTTGTGCCGGAGTCATCAACTCCGCGGATAACAGCTTGCTTCACTACTCCAAGTGTGTTGCTGGGCTCAAACATGTGTTCAACATGGAAGTGCTCACGAAGACCGGCCTGAACCATGATTTAAGTTGGTTGACGGCCGACGTTGGTGACGACGACCATGACGCCATTGCCGTCGCATTGTTTTTCTTGGCCTGGACAGACTTGATTCTGTCACGGCCTCGCGATCTCCGAAATCTCCTCGAGTTGGAGGCATCTATTCTGGAACAAAGAAGATACAGAGGATCAGACTCGGTGTTTATCAAAATGGCTACATGGTTCTGCTTTCTGGATGCTCGCGCTTCCGCCTTCGGTTCCAGTCAGGACCGCATCATTCAAGCCCTGGGAGATGACCAAGGGTTGCTAGAGATTGTTGAAGACTCTCAGGACTTCCTGCAGAAAGAATATGATCTTCTCTATCCCAGAGAAGAGCAACAACGGGACCAGGCCCATTTGCCACTGTACATTGTTACGGGCCAACTTGTTACGCTCCTTGGAAAGATCTCAAGGTCCTGCAAAGGGGCCACTAACGCATCAGAATCAGCCAAAACCGAGACTAGAGCCTCACTTAGAAGATTGAGACAAGTATGTATTTCATTTCTGAAATAGCTTTCGGGATCTGATATACTAAGTTACTTAAGGTTCTAGAAAGTAAAACTGAACACGACGCCGTGGAGGAAAATGTCTTATCCATCTACTTGACGACCAAAGCCTTGTATCACGCAGTCGAGATCTATTATTCACGTGTATTCCACCTCTCGGATCCACTGTACTCGGGGGATAGCCATGCCGCTGTAATAATCAGCACGACCGACAGATATTACCAAATGCTCAAACGACCTCGGTCAGAGCCGCCACCAACCAAGATCTGGCCCCTGCCCCTGGTCCTGGCCGCCATAGAGGCGAAAGACTCTATATATCGGGGGTGGGCAGTGCAGAAGATCCGTGACTACGCCCAAGCTGGTAAGCATTATGCCAATGCGTGCGCCTTCGCCGAAGAAGTGCAAGGCAGGGAGGAGCAGCGAAACGCCCGAGTCGATCTCGCCGCTATCAGTCACAACATGCCCGATAACTTTATCATCTGAGGTGGCCAGAGATAGCGATCTCAACATGCCACGCGAGCTCTCAATCGCATTTCAGGGCGATTGCGTCGAAGTTGGCGAGGGCTCGCTCATTCGTCCCGTTTTGGCAATCGTTCTGCGTCGCTCGCCCCGCGCCATCATCGCTCGCCGCCCCACAAGGGATGGCGCTGTTCAGATGCAAAGCCCACGCTACTTTGAGACTTGATAAAGCGACATTACCTTGGCAAGAATCGAAAAAGCGACTTCAAGATCTTTCACTGCAAAGGAAGAGAGACAAAGAAAAGTGACACCCCTTCACCCTTGCGTTCCCCCTATTCAAGATGCCGTCGCTAGAACAACCAGAGACAATGTCCAGGACCTACCAGCATGTAGTGGTCGAGGGTCTGCCCTATGATCGGGGGTTCTCTCATGGGAGCCAGGTCCGCGATAAAGTTCATACGAACATAGCATATTATAAACTTCCTGGGAAGCTACCCGACTGGTAAGAAACATGCAATATTTCGGTGTTCTATAGAGCTACGGGGTCTGATAATTGGGGTTGATAGGTCTATCTCATCACGAATCATAGAGAACATTTATATCCCAGCTCTTCAAAAGTACTATCCAACGGGCCTCGATGAGATGCGCGGTATTGCGGATGGTGCCGGCGTCCCCTTAGAGGAGATCGTCATGCTAAATGCTAGATATGATTTGGGGAGGTGCATGTACAAGTTGAAGGACGGTGGACGAAGTCCTCAAAATGGATCAATTCCGGCACCTACAGAAGTGGACTCAGCAGATGAATGCACCAGTGGCTTTTTTCCAGCAGAGGCCACGGAATCCCGCGAGACATGTGCAGTACACAATTGGGATATGTCCAGTCATCTCTACAACCAGGACCTTGTTATTTATCTCGAGGTCCACCCGGATCCTTCTGAGAATCGCCCCTCCATGTTCATACTGACAGAAGCTGGCCAGCTCATTCGCAGCGGGATGAACTCGGCTGGCCTGTCTGTTACTGCCAACTCACTGCTTGCCACAACGGATTACGTACCCATCTCCCACATCGACCAAGATGGTGTCTACCAGGAAGTCGAGCCTAAGCTTGTGCTACCGCTTTCACTTGCTCGTCGCGTCTACCTTGAATATGCGAATTACGCTGAAGGAATAACGGCCATCAACGCTTTCCCGCGTCATGTCTCAGGAAACCTCCATGCATCGACAGCTGATGGCTTTTGCTTGGCATTAGAATGCGCACCGGAGCGAGCGTACAAGTTCTATGGTAACATCGATGACAATTACGTTATCCACAGCAACCACTTCCTCAGTCCGGAGTTTCAGGGACGCGACGACGTCAACGACCGTTACGCAGGCGGTAGCAGCTGGTACCGGGCTAGGCAGGCCGAAAAAGGAGTACGGAAAGGTGCTCGGGACGGCACGCTGACACCTGACAGCATCAAGACGGCATTCTCAGATCACCTTGCCTACCCAGAAAGCCTGTGCAATCACCCGAACACCAAGCAGAGGAACGCACCCAGTGCTGTACTTACCGGATATACGTCGAAGCTGAACATGACAGTTGCATTTGTCATATACAACCTGTCACAAAGAAAGATCACTGTATGCAAGGGACCTCCTTGCCAAGGGGTGCTTCAGAACTTTGAGCTGAAAGATCGGACAAGATTGCAAAAATAATTCGCTTGACACATGAGAAGATAGGCTAGATATTCTAAATGAAGAAATTCGTAGCAATAGCCAAATGCTTGCAATGTACATGCGGACTTTACAACGGAGAACGGAGATGGATATGTGGCTTGGCAGAGATCGCCCCTAAACCCCTTTTGGGTGCTAATCTCTGGTTGGCTAAACCGGGTGCTAGTCAACATCACGATGTCTCAAAGACCCGATACTGAGTAATGTGATACTTGCGATCGTTTCTCTCTTACGAAAATCAGGCAGGTACACCAGGAAAGTACCACTCCGGATCGCTCAAAGAGCCCGGGTAGCCCCGATCAAACGCGTATTTAAGATGTTACGTCTGCCCTGGAGTCGTTCATTGATTTCATAATTTGATTGCTTAGTCCTCTTATCGTTCATTCAAGTCGTATGATAACAGAGCAACTGTATCCTCCGAAAAAAACCCTCCCAGTCCCTAAATATGCCTATGACATTCGGCGAGTTCCTCAAAACCCAACGAGCCGACCTCCCTATCCCACCGGCCTCGCAGATCGCAGGAGGCGTTTACATCGTCACAGGGGCAGGCCACGGCCTTGGTCTGCAATGCGCAAAACACCTCGTGCGTCTTGGGGCTAAGCGAGTGATCATTGCCGTACGGTCGGTGACCAGTGGCGAAGCCGGGCAGAAGGAGATAGAGATAGATACAGGTCGAAAAGGAGTCGTGGAGGTCTGGAAGCTTGACCTGGCGTCATACGACTCGGTCAAGAGCTTCGCAAGAAAGGCCATACAGGAGCTGGATCGGATCGATGGCCTCATTGAGAATGCTGCTATTGCGCTGGACAAATGGACCATCTCAGAAGGCCTTGAGACAACACTGACGGTGAACGTGGTCAGCACCTTCCTTCTTGCTTTGCTTCTCTTTCCCAAGATGAAAAACGACGCGAAGAGACTTGATACCACACCCCACATCGTCATTTTGACAAGCGGACTTGGCTTTTCTCAAGAGAAGGACTTCCAGAAACTAGCAAAGCAGGGTGGCGACGTCTTTGATAATCTGAACATCGAGGGGAAGTGGCCACTAGATGACAAGTGAGTTGCAAAGTCAAGACAGATAGCCGTATATGCTGACTTACTCTCGCAGTGCGCGTTATGCCATGTCTAAGCTCCTCGAAATCGTAGCCCTACGACCGCTCGCGACGTTGCTGCCAGTATCCGAATCCGGTGTCGTAATCAACATGATCAGTCCTGGATTGTGTAACACGGGTCTCGCCAGATATTCAGAGAGTACGTGGAACCGGCTCAAGATTCGCACGGCCAATGCTATCATCGGCAGAACACCAGAGATGGGGAGTAGAACGCTACTTCATGCTGTGACCGCAGGAAAAGAGAGTCACGGCAAGTACTGTTCAGATTGCGAGATCAAAGAGTAAGTCACCCGCTTTCCTTGATGTAGGATTTGATATTGACGATATTGGTTCTCAGACATCACTTGCCCGATTGGGTAACTGATGAGGCTGGTCGGAAGATGCAGAAGACAGTTTGGGACCAATTGTCCCAGAGGCTTGCGGTCATTGAGCCCAGCATCCTTGTGCCCTTCAATCATTCTGCGGCATCCTCAACCTCAGTTTTGTAGAGCCGGCAAGCATATTCTGACGGTCGACTATGTTGTATTATAGAAACTCCAGTGCATTAGTATTTTGAGCCTCAGTAGAAACCGTTTCCAGTTCCTTTGTGGAGCATAACTCAGTGTTGTCGGATACAGAATTCCAAAGAGCACGTGCCGATTCGTCATGAAGAGTGTTGATCCAGGGAAACTGACCCAGCAATTCGCGGACAGCGACCCAGTCATGGATTCCCATCTCATCTGTGATCCGCCTTATATTGTCTGCAGCCCAGTCTTGATCACTTTTGCTTAAGACGGATAATCCACCTACGAACAATAGCCAGGTGGTTAAGGCCTTATCAGCTACAGAGCTACTTAATAGCATCTCTAGAGTGTTTTTCATTCTGATGGCCACGAAGGGATATGCCAAGATCTTGCGACGACCGAATTGAAGCAACGTGGTAATCATGAATGCTATCATGCCTATATGAACAGCGTCTTCGATCAAGTCGACAGGGCTGGGGTCATTTAATGGTCTATAGGGGACCAAGCGATACCAGAAAGACAACAGCATGGCCTGGTAGGAAAATGGCTCCATTCTGGGGATAAAACTTTTGCTGTTGAGACAATCGGTAAGCTGATAAATCTCAGTGATGATTTGTTGAAGATCAAGTGGCATATCCTCGAATTGTTTCGGAATATCCCTGCGTTGTTGTATCCAGCTAGGGAGGATCGAAACCATTGATTCTTGGGGGATCTCATGCCACAAGAAATTAGTGGTTGAGCCACTTCGGAGAGCAAACTCAATATCAGCCCTAGATTTATTAGTCTCCCAGGTTATGTCAAGATCATGTTCCTAGGGGACAGCTTGCCTGCATATTTTCTGGACGAGAGAGCAGTTATGTTTCAGAGCAACGAGGCCGCCCCTCAATTTGACCATGCGTCGAAGACCTTCAAAGTGGACTTGCATCTTCTCTTCATCACGACGCAACTGCTCATAAATTATCAGAAGAACGACAACAGCTAAGCTAGTGTCAGAGGTTGCTTCATCACTGGACAGCCTCTGATTTACAAGGGTGAAGGTCTGTGAGAGATGTGTCAACACAGCGGGTGAAACCTCTTCTCTTGCGAGGAAGAAGTCAATCATCGCCGCAGTGATAGCTAGCATAGAATGAAAGACTGAAACAGTGAGCACGAACCGATTCTGCACGAGTAAGCGGCGAAAAGAAGCCTTACCTGCTTCATCCTCGAGCATGTATTGGAGCCACAAGGACTTCATAAGATCTATCTGCAGGCAGAACTCCGGTGGGTAGAGAGCATCACCAACTCCACCAAATACTAGATATGATTGTCAGTGGTAGTTGGTGAAGCGTGAATGGTCTACTCACGATTGTGGAGGAGATATGTAACTTGTGGAGTGAGTTTTAGTGGAAAGGAGAAATAGAGGAATCCGTTCCAAACCCAGTCTCGAATAGCAAGAGCGGTCTTGTCAAGATCCTTTGAGACCTGACCGTGTCGAATGTCGCTTAACACATTATCGATGAGACGCAGGGGGGCAATACGCGTTGCCGCGATGGCGTCGCTTGCGCTGCCTCGGGGCTTCCTGGCATGCTTCAAGGAGCGGCCCGCATTCTTGCCCTTCATGACATGGCTGCGAATCAGCCGCCGAGAACCTCGGTTGATGGTTGAGTTGTCGATGAATTCGAAGCCCATTTTGGTATAAGATTGTATGTGACTGCCTCCTATTGACCAAGGAGCAGTACGTGTCAGCCTTGAAGTGATCGAGGTGATGAAATGTTCTAGGGAGAGTTAGACGCGACGCCAGGGTCCGGGGACTCGGACTTAACGGGGCCGAGATGACGCCCGCCATTAGAATCAAACGAGTAGCGCTGTAGCGTACTGCATAGGCCATCAAACCTTTTTCTAGGCACTGGATTTTTGTTCTTTAAGTGCCTAGGTAGCCCAACTGCTACGCACTGGGATTAACACAGCCCCCGCCGTCCCTTGAACTTGCTCGAATTTTGAAAACCTCAGAACAAACAAAACTGCGTCAAGACGTCGACCGACTTTCAGACCATGCGAAAATTTTATATCTTCAAAGCACCACAAATACGGATATTTGGTTTGCTATACCAGCAATGTTGTAGATATTATGATAACGATGTGGTAAAATGCGATGCATTCACGATATCATACAGCCATGCTTCTCGCAGGAGGAAAACGCTGTTCTTGAATGATTTTACGCTGAGTTCTTTCCTATGAGCCAGGTAATCTAATCGCATTCACCTCGAAACAGATGAAACCTCTGTGGCATGTTTCTTTCTAGTCTGTAGTCTATGACCTTCTTGTCTAGGAGCACGTCGTCTGACAAAAGCAAAGTGTATTGTATCTGATAGCTCACTGTCAAGGAGTGCACAAGGACAATTGCGTGGTAATGATGTTTTCTTCTTGAAAGACCTCGCACTTACAAATAGAAATTTCGGTACGAAGCTTTTTGCTGCTCCACTGGCCTTGGGCCGCACACAGCCCAAGATGCAATCTCTTTCTTCAAATGAGCCAAGACTATTGAAACCCAACAACAACGGCGTTTTGTTCCCGGTATTCCGTCTTCCAGTCCAACCAAGTCGATGACAGTTGGATGTAAGCCAGAATATTCGCTTCCGAGCCAGTCCTAAGTGAACGTGATATGAGGACTCGGAAGATAATAGCTTGGCATCGTAGCATGTGCTGTGGTTATAATATAGTATGTCACAAGGGAGCAGCCGATGATCATTTTGCCTAAAACCGTTGCCGTTGCCATTTGGCTCTATACCAGAACCCTATGTTCTTTATAGTAGTCCTTGGCTCACTTGGCTGACCCTTGGCTGAAGCTTGACTGAGCCTCACATGAGACTGTATCTCGATTCAACTAGACTGCGGTCTTATTTGGTCCAATCTCATCTCGATTTGGTTATGATGGCATCTGGCAATTTTATTGGGAACATACCCGGCTTTCGGGCCCACAATGGCTTCCGGATACGCATTGACTCGTGCCAAACCTATCTGTACCTGCACAGTAGATGAAGTAAAACCCTTATAGTCAAAGTTTGGGCACCCTTGACCCGGTATCGTGATGGATAGACACCTAAACTTAATTATCGCTGTTAATTATCCGGTTAGGAGGATTAACCGGTTACGTATAGCCACCCAAAGCTTCCAAGGGGGAATCTAGGGGCATCAAGAGCACTATCGCGGAAACACATTATGGTGGGGGCTCGTGGGTCACAGTCCCTTAAGCCATTCCAAAAGAAGAACATTGGAACCATCAACTCCTACAAACGCATTTTAACCGCTGGGAAAAATGGGTGGCTTCCCTGGCTGCCAATATACATGCTGCTCTCTAATATATACCCCGCAAAGATCGGCACTTAAACGGTAGTCAAACGTCGAGTCTGCTATTGATTGGCTGATGGATAGATTGATGCATGAGGAACAACCCATTTGAGATGGCGTATAAGTCTGTTGTAAGATTCAACAATAGAGGGCTCCAGAAACGTTGATGACGTAGAAGAAGTATAAAAGTCAGTGGCGCCTCTTTTACTTCCCGGTTCAATCACCAATACTTTCTTAGCATCGACAGCTTCATAATGATTGCTTTACAGTTCATTGCCACTTTGGCTGCCATAGCCGGCGTGTCCGCCGTGCCCGCGCCTCTTGAACTCATCCAAGCCTCGACTCCTGCCGGGACTGGCACCAACAACGGCTATTTCTACTCTTTCTGGACAGATGGCCAGGGTTCCGTTACATATAACAACGGCCCAGCTGGTGAATACAACGTTCAATGGAGCAATGTTGGAAACTTTGTCGCCGGAAAAGGATGGAACCCAGGCGGCCCGAAGGTGATTACCTACAATGGTACCTGGAATGGGGCAAACGTGAACAGCTATCTCTCTGTTTACGGTTGGACGACGAACCCACTGATTGAGTACTACATCGTCGAATCGTATGGAAGTTATAACCCATCAACCGGTGCCCAGAAGAAGGGCACAGTCACGAGTGACGGAGGCACCTACGACATCTACCAGACTCAGCGTGTCAATCAGCCCTCCATTCAAGGTACCGCAACCTTCAATCAGTTCTGGTCAGTCCGCCAGGGTAAGCGAGTGGGCGGCACCGTCACAACTCAAAATCATTTCGATGCGTGGGGAAAGGCTGGCCAAAAGCTTGGTTCGCATAATTACATGATCGTTGCCACAGAGGGCTACCAAAGCAGTGGCTCTGCCGACATAACGGTCAGCGGTCAGTAGTTTGTTGCACTTGAAGGAATTAGGAGGCTATCCTAAGCATTGCGATTCAGAATATGGGATGCAGGGGGATTGTGGTGAAACTTGAAGTGGTTGAAATTTAGTCACGGTAGCATTTTTGCGTTGATATTGTAAGATCTATAAAGACCGTCAACCTTCGTCAACCACCGTTCTCTTGCCTGCTACTTCTCAAATGCAAACCGTGCTTCTAGCCCCCATGGCCCAGAGTAAGTCGTGGGTTGATCGTTTCCCAGTATGACCACACTGTCAATTACATTGTCTGTTGCGTATCCGAATGTGCCATCAGCGATAAATTGCGCTCCATCCCAGGTGAAATCAATGTCAGAATACGAACTGCCGACATCTAAACTCTGGCCGTCGTCAAGATACAGTGATCCAGTCGCCTTTCCGTCCAAGCCTGGAGCCACAATCACGGTGAAGTTCTGTTGTCGAAGAGCCGTCGTGGTATTGGCGGACACCGCACGTAACGGAATAATTGAGCCCCCACGAATATGAACGGGAATATCAGTCCAGTCAACATTTTCAAGTGTGACATTTGATCCAGTGCTATTTGAGGCCCGAAATGTCCAAAAATCATAGAATATGTCAGCGGGAAGATAAAACGTAACTGATTGTGACGAGTCATCGACGACAGGTGAGATTAAAAGTGATTCACCATAAAAGAATTGAGTTTGAATGCCGAATGTGTTGTTGTCAGAAGGGTAGATGAAGAAAAGGGGATTCACAATCGGTAGTCCAGATGTGCTGGCTTTGTGCATTGCAGTGTAGATATAATCCAGTAGCCGGTATCTTGCGGCAATGGCTTTTTGTGCAGCCGCAGTTACTAATGGCCAGAGGTAAAACTCTTGTCCGGGTGATGAAATTTCCGCATGATTTCTGTAAAAAGGCATGAATGCACCTAGCATTGCCCACCTCGCACACATCTGCTCCTCGGCTGCCCCGTTAAAACCACAGACATCTGACCCGACCATAGGCATCTGATGTACGGCGGAAAACGCCAAGAGTTGTGGTATGGACACCCGGTAGTCCGACCAAGTAGAATTGTTATCTCCGAACCAGTGTGCGACCTTGCTCCCAGCGCCGGCAAAGGTTGATCGGGTCAAGACGAAAGGTCGCTGCGATGGTCGACGAGTGATTAGACTATTGCGACTAGCCGTGGCCATCATAATACCATAAAGTGAATGTGTGTCATATTGATGAGTTCCGTCTGAATTCGTAATGTTGGTATAAAGCGTGAAGTCACTCAATTCCCCTCGATGATTATTTATATGATACTTCGGGGTGAAGAGGTCACGATCTGGCAGACCTTTCATATCTCCTCCAGTTGTTTGTCGTCTTGTTATTGAGGCAGATGAGTTCGGTTGAAAATCTTCTGGAAATCCAGGTATCGGTCTTCCTGTGTTTGGACGAGGTGGATTTGCGGGGGCAGGAGGATCATTCTCGTCAATGGCGAGCTGAGCAGGGTCACAGTTGACATCATGACAAAAGTTCGACGCCTCATTCACTAGGAATTCGAAGTTAATGATTGCCTTTCCAAGGAGTTGAGATGCTGTTGAAAGTTTTGAACTGTGACACGGCGACTTTGAAGCTGGCCCTCATCTTTGAATGCTTTAAAAATGGCTAAGAAAGGATTGACATATAATTAAAGATAGCTTACTGTCATTCCAAACACCATCAACATCAATACCGGTGTCTGGATCAAAGAACTCGAGGATCTCATTGGTCCACCACTATCCCATTTTGAAGTCAGCTTTTTATCATCTTGAGGACCATGCCCGAAGCAATAGACGATAGGCGTGATATCTCACAGCCGGCAAGCGACTATGGAGATCCATAAGGACAATAAAAATCTACTTACCTCTTGCGTGTTTGGTGCAAACCAGTCCGGCCAGACTACCTCGCCGGCCCATTGGACTCCACGATAGTCAGACCCGTCCGCGGCTTTCAGAAACACACTCTTTTCTTCGCCTCTGGAGAATGTTGAGTAGTTTCCCAATCTATGAATGCCAGGGTCGATCATCATAATGTAGTGCTGATCCCGTTGGTGTAGAGTACTAACCAGTTCTCGCATCTTATGAATGGGGAATCTTTCCGGGTCAGTAGTAAAATCTTGACGCAAGTCCATATAATCAATATCGCCCCATAGCGTTTCGAGAGGAATATTCGCAGTGGAATAATTGCCCACAACCTCGGCGGCGTAGTTCACATCCCAGTACCCATATTTGCACTGGTGAAATCCAAACGACCAGTATGGCATCATCGCTGGCAGACCCACGACTTCCGCATATTGCTTACTTACATCTGATGGGCTAGGTCCAGCCAGGAAAAAGAAGTCAAGTACACCGCCGACAGTGTTGTACTCTAGATATTGCTCGCCTGACTCGGTTCGGTTGATATTGACGTTCATGCCGTTTGCATTGCGTAGAAACACTCCGTGACTTCCCGCATCACCACGGTGGTCAAGATAATTAGGATGACCTCCATAGAGATTAGAGTGCCGTGGGATGAATGGTGATTCCGAGTTCCAGAAAACCCTCTGATAATCTTGTGTTTCTAGACGAAACGAGTCTGAATGTTCGCCAAGTCCATACAAATTTGGATCTAACGGCAACGAAGTACGAAGTCGAACGTATTGTGATTCGAAGATCAGTTGTGTGCCAGTTGTGTTGAAAAGGGTGTAGTTGGAATCCTTTCTCACTATCGCAAAAGAGAAAGGATTTTCGACGTATGTGAACTGTATCAGAGCATCTGTTGAAGACCCACCGTTATTTGGAGGTTGAGAAAGGACGGAGTCTTGCACTTGATAGACATCGAGGGCAGTGTCATAAATCTTCACATGAAGTCGAGTTGCTTATTAGTGGAAAGATTAATGTTCCATTGGCTGCTATCTCAGAGTCGAGAACTTTACCTGATTGGTATTCAACCATGAGACTCAAATTTATGAGGTCACCTCCGTAAATATTACATGCTTCGTCTCTTAGTATGAGAGCTGCTGAGATCGAATTATCGGTGGTTTCAACATTTGTTGCTACATAGCCCGGACAGTCCGTGATTGTTAAAGCAAGCACAACCCCGCCAAGTACTAGAGAACTCTTGATAAAATTCATGTAGATTAAAGCTACTGAGAATACGGAGCTTACAACGTGCATATCTCTTTGTCTTTTGTCGACTATCTTATTTAAAGAATTCAAAAAATGGCTGCCTAGTTTTCCATTGGGCACTGCAATCTTGACTGAAAGGGGATTCAACGAGCGTCATCACAAAGCCACTAAAAGTCTCTTCGGTCACCAGCAAGGAATGCCGACGAGTTATTATTGTGACGGAGCATGAAACAGTCCGATGGCGTAGCATATTCATGCGGGGAAGAACTCATATGTGAATCCGAGTAAGCCGAACCAGCCAACAACCGCTCAGGTCGTGACCGGGGCTGAGTCTGCGCGGTGATGATCCTTCCCCACATCATCAATATGATGTGGAGTAAAAGCAAAATCATTTGAGGTTTGGCCACCAGACTGATTAACATCATACACCAGTGTAACGTTGAATTAGATGCATATTCCCGCCTCATCTTTGATTGCAGTACCCATGTCTCATGCCAGTGCATGAAAATATTACATTATTATATGTATACCATGGTAGGCTCAAATTGTACCTCCTCGGTTGCTCTATCTACAAATGCTGTCACCTTAATTGGATTTCCAAACACGTCTGGTGTGAGTCTCTGGAATTCAGCAGTGAGTATTCCTGCATCGCGGTCCCATGATGTCTTTGTACAAACAAATCTCTCTTGAATAAACCCTGCTGCAGAGCGACTGCGTTCTTCGAGAATGATTCCGGCCTTTTTTCCTAAGCTTAGTGTTTGAAAATCGTAGACTCCACATTCTTTCCAGGTTATCTTCCGATACAAGTTATAAGCATCCATGCGAACCTTATAGTCCCGACATTGTGCAACAACAGACCCCAACATGCCAACACCGCGATCCAGGGTGACATGTCTTATCATTTTGGACCTCTCTGTGTAATGGTCTAAAATCTCGGCACATAAATCCACGACTTTTCGAAATTCGGGCGTGAAAGCGTCAAAAGAAACGCCTGATTTGTCGGGGAAGCAGTTGAAAAATATGGTTAAGAGGATGATGTTGACTTCAAGAATACGCAAACTGTCTGACTGTCCTAGCTGCTCATGAGTTGGGAGGTTTGACGTCTCAAGACTGTTAAGGCTTTTAGCTCTAGCGTAGCCATGAACGAGGCCTTGCCACCGGTGAAGCTGCGTGAGGAATTTGTTTCGCCCAATCTCAGCCACGTCAGGATCAAAGGAAGAGGTTTCATTGGCCGATTGGTTGACAAAAGCAACACATTGGCTGCTAAAAGCGACCCACGCTCGAATTAATCGTTCAAAATCAACATGTCCGGACTCCGGAATCTCGTAATCTGTGAAAGGAAGGAGTTCCAATATGGAATAGCGACCATGGTTTTGCTTAGGGGAAGTAGGAGTTGAGCCGCAAATGTCAGACAAATAGAGAAGCATAATATCCACTTCTGGTTCCGTGTCGTTGTTGACCAAGAGCTTGTTCGCCAGCTTGCAGCTTTTGTTATGGGTTTTGACTTTCTGGAGAATCGAAAGATTATTGGTCAGCATTTGATCAGCCGCGACACGATCCCCTTGTAGAAGCTCGAATGTGACAAACAAAACGGTCGAGAGAACTATACTCCGGAGAGATAGAGGTTGCTCCCGAGTTCCCAGTTGTTTCCGTATTCTATACATTGATTCCGTGTGGTAATGGACTGCTATTCTGTGATGATCATTCATGAACGATCGACAACTTGGGTCTTTCGAGGAAAGAGCCACTTTCGAGAGTATGCCTACTGGTCTAATCCCGTTATAGAACAGCCCCCGTGCCAGAGCTGCGAGGGCTAAAACTGAGAGACGGATAGCATCATGCTGATAGCTCGCGCAAAGAATCGTTCGCAGCCAAAAACCG